AACGCATAAACATATTGATAAAGCACTGCAGTACTACAAGACGCTCTATTCTTTATGACTGTAGGAGCCATTTATGTTTATTGTTTGCATGATAGTTTATTTTGTTTGGATATATTTATATTAGTATTTAGACACTAGGTGGCAGTGATTAGATGCACATGGTTGTATTTAAAGGGGCATAGGTGACAGGAAATGGAAGACACAGGTAGGGAGAGCACAAGCAGTTCTCACCAGACCACGGATTAAACCCTGATTAGAACACACAACTCACAACTGGAAACAAGACAAGAAAACAACTGGTATGTTCATCTTTGATGTACTTTTACTTCAATAAACCACAAATCTCCACTGCAATAACGGCTGGAAAATCTTGTGTGTCTGCGTAGAAACTTCACTCCTACCTGTACATGATGGCAAATAAATGAAATTGAATATAGGGCTAAAGGTACAGCCAAGCAAAGATTGCCATTATAATGACAACTACAATAACAGCGACAAACATTTCACATATTTAAAAAAAAAATGACATTGGAGAGAAGCTACGTTGAGCGTAACTTGTGTAACACACACACACACACACACACACACACACACACACACACACACACACACACACACACACACACACACACACACACACACACACACACACACACACACACACACACACACACACACACACACACACACACAATTAAATATCGTTAAATATCGTTTTAAACGTTAAATATAGTTTTAATATAATTTGACATCCTTTATCCGTTTTCCACAGTGTAATAAGCCTTAATCAACAGTAATATACTTCATATAATTTAAACAATTTTGACTGTAGCCTAATGTAAATTCTGTATTTTTAATTCTGCCAGAGATTCACCGTTTTTTTACGGGATTTATTTATTTATTTATTTACAGTGTATAGTAATAGAAATATAAAATGAATAGCTTACCATTGTGTATTCATAGCACATTAAATGAGGGAATGAGAGACACGTGCCCTTGTCAGCTAAGTTAGCCTATAAAGATGTTAAAACTTAAATTAAAATAGTAAAATTGTATTCTGATTTAAATTCTGGTCAATTATAGACTATATTTCATTCAACGTGTGGTATTTCTAAATAAGCTTCTTGATAAAAAAAAATAATAATAATAAAAAGTCATGCTGGACTCAAGCCATTATTAGGACTGTATTCCTAAAGAATCGGTCGCCTATGCACAAAACATTCTCTCTATTTCACCAGCAGGTGGCAATATAACATGTGATAAACACATTCCCAACACTGCAGAAGTCAAACACCATAAAATGTGTTTTCCATAATAAAAATTGCTGTTGAATATTATAACCCAGATTTCATATATTTGTGTCGTCTAAATAATCAATCATGGTGATATCTTATTGGCCTATTATGATTGAGGGAGCTGTAGAAAATAGGCTTCACTAAAGATTTTAGGCTACACTAAAGTGCTACAATAAAGTGTGTTCACTAAAGAGATTTTTTATGTTATTGTATTTTATAGAAATTAATGGGCTATTTTGCCATGTAACAAAGATAGAAATACTGATAAAAAAAACAACAACAGAGTAATGTAAATAACTGGAAAAAAAATATTTAATTCATAAGCTACAGTACAAACAGTGAGTGTATATATGCTACTTTTACTTATAAATTGACCAGACCTAGATTGCGCAGAAGAAAAAAAAAAAGTATTTTCTGTTGGTTAGTTCTGTTTTAATTCATCCATGCTGAGAGTAAGGCATGTCCCAGACTGATATCGGGAGATTCCTCCTGTTGGTCACGGATGTGTGCTCCGTGTGGATAAAGATGGCATCCTGCTGATGTCTGTGACCTTCATGGAGGCTTACTCCTCTGCCAGCCACTGCTTTCTGATTTAGTGCTGCTCTTGTCGGGAGCTGTGAGGTGCTTTTCATGTACTGGCAGAGCAACTCAAGGGCAAGTGTGGACAGGCTGGGTGAAGGAAGATCACACAGAAAAGCAAGGAATGGCTTATGTGCATCAGATGTGCGTCGTTTCTGGAGGGGAGCATGGTATTGTGAAATATAGGTTCAAATGCAGCCTTCTTTTCATTCATAACTCAAATCCAATTTGTCAAAAAAAAAAAAAAAAAAAAAAAATTAAGAAAGTCTTCTGTGGCCCTAAGGGCCACCTATTAACTGAAAGTAGATTTTTCAACCAACACTTATGACAAAATCTCATTCATTCCATTTTGAAGAATCTCCTAATTGTGATTATATTCTGTTTTAATCATGAGACACTTGTGCGTTTTGCTCAAATACACCAGTGAAGAGAGCATGCATTCACAGGGGGGCCGGGAGGCAGAGGGTCTCTCAGAGCAGATGCTAAAACTGATGATGATGGATGTCTGCATGGAGACTGTTGAATGATCAGGGGAGGCTTGTGTAGATTCTTCAATTTCCATTGTTTCACAAAATCTTATATGCAAATTTACTGGGACAATTATAATATCAAATAATATCAAAGCAGGGCGACACTCTGAGAGTGGCAATTTCAGATTTTAAATATCTCTCATTTGTTGCTCTAAGGTATAGTAGGCTAACCTGTATTGTATGTTTAGTGCTGGCTGCTGGGTAGATTATTTACAAGTTGTTGTCCATTACTAAATACAATTTATACAAAATACATAATATAAATTGTAGTTAGTAATGTAATAATTACATTACACATTTTAGGTAATGTAATCAGACTACTTTTAGATAACTTTTGACCTTATAATGTTTATTTGAATAATATAATCTTACCATACATTAATAAAAGAGAATGAGTAAGAGAAAGAGAAAGAGTATTCCACTTTTGTTATCAAGAACATGAAGTGGATTACACTTTAGTTTAGGGTCCAATTAACTAGTTGATTATTGGCATGCAAATCACTAAGGTATTGGCTGTTTATTAGTACTTATAAAACACAAATTCATATTCTGCATGATCATATTCTACATCCCTTATTCCTAACCAATACCTTAACATAACAACTACATTATAACTATTAATAAGCAGTAATTAGGAGATTATTGAGGCAAACGTTGTTGTTAATAGTTAACTTAATAATGAGAATTGGACCCTAAACTAAAGTGTGGCAAATCTTTAAAAAATTAATTAAAATAAATAAATTATTTTTAAAATAAAAACAATCAAAATAAACACTAATTAAAAAGATTCAATATTTTATTTGTTCATGCTGTGTGGCCTTCCATTTTTCGTGTTCAAAACACTTTGATCATATATAGCCTAAGCAAAAGTTTTTTTTGTTTTTTGTTTTTTAAAAGGAACATTTAAAAGATAAAAACAGAAATCTTAGGGAGAATCAATGAATTCTGAATAATGAAACATTAAGTGAGTATTAAGTAATCATGGAATCAATAAAAAGTATTTTAAAACATAAAGGAATTATCATTTTTGGAATTCTGTCCCTGGAGGGGACATAACCCTGGAGTTGCATAAACCGCTAAGACTTAAAAGTTAGACATCAATTTTTTTTCTTTGCTTTTTAAAATCAGTTACACAAAAACATTACTTGTGGGTCATACTAGAACGTAGATAATCCAACCGGTTTTAATCAGTTACTACCCATGTTGTATAGTAACATGATTTTGCCAAATAAAATATTGTGTTGATCCTGAAACAATATTCCTGTTCAAAAATGTAGTCCTAACCCCATCCCTACCACTAAACCTAACCCTATACCCAGCTTCCTAAAATCAGAGGGAGAAGATAGATGAATAAAACTGATGTAGATGCACCAAACCATGATTGTTATAGCCTAAACCTGACCAAAACTGTAAACTGTTCCTTTACTTTGATTGGTTACTTGGAATATTGTTCCAGGATCAATATCCAGGAACATGTTGCACTTGGTGAAATAACTTTCACCATTGTATCATATGTTTTTAAAATATCAAAAAGAGTGGGATAGTAAACAGCTTGTTTTTAATCTGTGACAGGCATTACAGTCATTTTTTGATATCTGGTTATATTTATCCAGCATCATCTGTGTCTTTTGACAGTCGATAAAGGTGATTGCTGAAGTGACAGTATGGTTCATCTCAAAGTAGAAAGGAATCTTGCTAAATGGGAGACAGTCGAGGCGTTGTATCTGAGAAAAGATCAAGCAGATGTTTGTGGGCTGTTACACCTCCCCAGTGGTTTCAAATCACACAAAGAGAACAGGGGAAAAAAACATGGCAGACTAATTGGTTACAATCTTGCTTTGGGTATTTGTCTACAAGAAGCAGTTAAGCTTTCATCCGGACTTATTGCAAATGGAATTTATTAATTCAATACTAATGTGCAATTTCATAAGAAACCTTATTAAAATGTCTTCTGGGAAATAATTGTGTTGGTGTTTAGAAGTAAAGCAAAGGGTTAGGGTTATGATTAATGTTTTCCCCACATTGCAGGGACAAAATTCATGTTTCTGTATGAACATGTTTTATCTATCCATGATGATGTCTAGTATTTACATTTTCCCAAGAGCTGTAAAATATTTATCTTGTTCCGTTGAATGATATGTCATCGTTCACTCATCATCTTGTTGTTCAAAACATCTATGACTTTCTTCTGCTGGACACAAAAATAGGATAATTTTAAGACTGTGCCCAAACATTTGGGGAACCTTCTGTGCATTCTTGTGTTTTGAAATCAATAACATTTTAATGAATGTTTCATTTGTTAACATAGTTAATGCATTAATCATGAAATAACAACGAGCAATATATTTTTTACAGAATTCATTAACCTTAAAGTACGTTAATAAAATTGTTCATGTTATTATTGTTTCACATGGCATTAACTAATGTTAAAAGATACAACTTTTCGATCTTTAAAAATAAACTAGAAACAATACACGTTGTAGAAATATAGTTAATTGTGCATTTGAATTAATGTAATTAACTGTTGATTGTAAAGTGTTACCGTGAAATCAAGGTAATTCTCTGAACTCAGATTTCTAAAAATCACATAGCATACTGAAATTCTTAAAATGATTTTATTCACCCACTTACAATCAGTAATATAAACCTTCCCAATTCTGTTGAATTTGGTAAGATAAGCATTTACGAAAACCATATTTCAGTACAGACAATAAGTTAAAACATATATCACAAACATACCAGCAGGTAACAAGATTATTTTCGTATCTACACAAACACTCAAGTTCATTTTGCTTTATGTAAACAACTTCCTGTTGATCCCGTTTGAAAAATTACATGCATCTGATCTGAAACTGATTATTTGGAAAGTGCCTCTTAATCCAACGTGTTCTTTTGTGTATGTCTACCCGAAAAAAAATCACTCCAACATGTGCCTTACAATCTGTACATGCAGACATGTGGTCCTCATTAACGTGCCCTTCACATTTAGTTTAGCAAAAATAATATCACCGATCAGCGAAATAAATATTCCTCCAGTTGTTTCTTCATATGAATGAAGAGTCAAATAAATACGCTTAAATAAATAAACAACTCGCCATTATTAAAATCAATTGCTAGGAAAATAAAATAAACAAATAAACATGACCAAATCCAACACATAAATAAAGTACGTACATTTCAAGCATTAAAACTATTACTATAGTCTATACATCTGCTGTATATAAGCATTGTCTGGGGATTGTTGGGATTCCATCATCCAGTAAGGCTGCCAATTTGTAATTTCACAGGTATAACCTCATATCCTGAGTGCTCCGTGACTGTTTTTTTCAGGAATACTTGGGGTTTGTAGTGACAAATTTGTATTTCACCTCAAATTAGGTGAAACTCATGGAAACGGTGTGCTCAAGTGCTTTACGGCGCAGGGAGGCGATACTAGTCCCTCTCCACATGTCACTGTCCGGGGAGCTACACAGCTGAGGTGAGCCGGTCACATTCGTTGGACCCGAGAGGGACGCGGGCACCATCCCAGGAAATGTAGGTTGATACAGATGCGATTGAAGACCGGAACCGTTTGACGATAAGCTGTTGGAAAGGCCCATGGAGTTTGGTGGAGGGCCAGCTCCGAGACTGCACTGGGACAGGGACTGTGCCATCGCCTGCTGTCGGCCCAGCGAAGGCGGAATCTGCAGCTGTGAGACTCCGGGCATCCCAGCCGCGGCCCAGCGAGTGTCGTTGGCATGAAAAGAGCAGAGACTGTCGCCCATTCCAGACGGAAACTGAGGCAAACCGTGCGTTGGTAGCAAAGTGCCCGGCGACCGGAAAACGTTCGTTGTCTTCTTGCGCTTCTTCCATTTTGCACGTCGATTCTGAAACCATACCTGAAATAAAAAATCGAAATCAAACCATTAGAAAGTCGTGCATTTCGTCAGTGAGAACACATTACTATTCTATTTTTCTTTTCTTTTTACTTTTTACAACTGTATTTTTAACAGTTTTATATAGGCCTATATACTGGTCTACGTTATATCGCAATTTTAATAAAAAAACAAAAAACAAAAACGAAATATAGCATATAATACAAGCTATAATAAATTAACGCATAGTTTGTCGGCAAAATGAGAGCACTTTGGTTTTTAAACATTGCAGAACTGCGCCTTTAAATAACGGAGAACTGTAAATATAGACCTATAATATGGTTCTTTATAAATGCTGAGGTTATTAAACATGCGCCTTAAATCATCATTCATCATTTTTTTTCTCAGTAAAAATATTAATATTTGGGCTAGGCTATATATTCACAAACACAACTATGTCATAACATGCGAAGGATTTTATTAAAATAAAAAATACACAAAGCAATTTCTTATTTCAAGATGGATATGAGATGGATAGGCTAGTAATATTTTTCAGACAGCCGGGGATGAAGTCGTTATAGTTAATGTTATCTAGGAGACAAATATGGGCTATTTTGATAGCCTCCGTTATTCATCATGGAACCATAATAAAGTATTTACTCACATGAAGCGTCCAAAATTAATACTCCTTCCTAGTCTGAGATATTTTAACATGTTGCACGTATTAGCTCGGAAGAATTGTTTTTTTGTTGTTATAACCGGTTAAATCGACGCCAATAATTTATACTATTATTTGATATAAGATAATTAGCATATTTTCATAAATATGAAACAGCCTACGGTTAACAACAGAATTCGCATCCAGTAAGACCCATAAAACACGTTATATAGGATTAAAGTAATTGTTCTTTTGAAGAAAAATATAGGCTATATGCACATGTACTAGTTTATTTTTATTTTATTTATTTATTTTTTATTCTAATAGGGAACATTTATTTCTCTCTCTTTTTTAATGCAATTATTTAACGTTGTATTGTTGCACACTGTAAAAAAGTAACCTAAAGCGCGGCGGGCAGCATGACATTAATATTTTAGGCTTGATGTTGTTTTGTGAGAATAGGCTCCCCTTGTTGAATGCATTGCATACCATGAAATTTAAGCACTAATTTTAGGGCTCTTTAGAAGAATCTTTTTTTATCATAAATTTTCGTTCGGTTTGCTTTCAGATCCTCTTCTTTTTTTTTCTTGTTTTTCTTTTTACGCTGTATAACCAGCTGGAAAACTCCGTTGCGACGTCAAAGCTGAGCAGGTTCACTCAAGACTCACCTGAACCCGTGACTCCGTTAAACCAATCCGTAATGCAAGTTCTTCTCTCATGAATATATCAGGATAGTGGGTTTTAGCAAAGCTCCTTTCCAGTTCGTTCAGCTGCGCTGGAGTAAAGCGGGTCCTGTGCCGTTTCTGTTTCTGGCTTTGTTGGCTAGCCGACTGATTAGAGTTTTGCTGTTGCTGCTTTTCTTGGTCTTTGGCGTTGACCTGCTGCATTCCATTAGGATTGGATCCACCATTGCTAATGTCTTCCCCGGGGAGCATAGTGGTCCCTTCCACAGTCTCTGTAGCAGAAGTAAGATCTCCGGGGTGTCCAGAGTCAGTGCCCCCAAGCCTGCACTTTAAAGCTTCCCGGTGTCCGAGAAGCTCGGCTGCAGCATCTTTCATCCCTGTGAACGCACGTGTCAACAATTTAGCATTCTGTCCAAAAGACAGGGACATATTAATAGACTGTTAACATTAAAGACAGAAAGAACAAATAGTAAGCAGCTTATCGACATATTTATTGCACAAACAATCATAAACATTGTTTGGTATACCGCAATCCATCAACGTCAAATGCATTTATGTGGTAGCTAATTAACAAACATTGCAAGTAAAACTAATACAGTTTGAGATATCATTATGTCATCACATTAGTTAAACAGTTTGAAGACTGAAAAAAATACTCTAGCTTACAGTGGAGTTGAAGACCGGAGTTTGGTGACGATAACTCACCGAGGCGAGTATCCAAGAGGTCGGCATGAGAGAGCATTGCGCACTGCTGGAGTCACAACTGCTTCCCAAACTACTTTACAACTTTTAACCCTTTTAAAAACGCGCATAGAGCTCAAATGAGGGAAAGTCGTCAGTGCGTTTAAAAAGGCGGTTCCATGTATTATACTGTTCTTTAGAGAGATTGGGAGGCGCTTAATAGTTGGATGAGCCCGTGAGCTTCCACAAATGCGAGCCAATCAGAATTGAGGCTTTGTAAATGTCAGACAACCAACCAGTAAAACGCACAAACCGGCTTCATCTGCTGATGCTCTAGTTCATTTCAAATCTGATTTATTGCAGCGCCTCCTTATTAGCTATACATTTTAAATGACTTCATAATCATGGCAAATAACCAGTGAATAATAAATCTTATTGGCAAAAAGAGGCTTCACAAAAGGTGGGGAAGTCTAGTCGTTATGCTTCTTGACCGACTTAGGATGCAATATCTACAGTAAATGCATGGAATGAGGTCACTATTTGGTTATCGCCCAACTTTTCGAGGCCCTTTACGAATCGAATACAGGACGCTGGTCATCCATGTTTGTGTTCGTGTGAAGGGAATGATGAACACTATTCTGTGAGCTGGTTTTGTCATTGTACCTTCCTGTGAGTTACAGCTTTATTTGAGTGGAATCCATCTATCAAAAACGATGAATTCTTTGAGGCAGCTAACAACACATCCAAGGTACATTTCCAACTAGTCATTTTCAAGACCATTAAGCATTTGAAGTAATTAGTGCCAAATCTATGAGCTTTCATCTCAATTATTACAGTGAAATCTGAATAATGCGGGATAATTTAACTGTGTTTAGATATAATGCAAGAAGGCGGTGTAAATCATGTTTGAATTAGGCTAATCTATTTCGTTAAAGGCTTGAAGTGAAACAGTGAAACTGGCTACTGATGCGTACTGATGCCTCAGTTGTATCGATGTTTCATCAGCGCTGACGCAAGTAATTTGATTTATTTAATTCAAACTCGCTGACATACATTGCCTAATTTAATCCATTCAGCGAAAGCACATTCGGCAGGCTGTCAAGTTTTCAGCGTATTTTTGTGTAATCAATCAGTTCTCCCTTCTTTTGTGGCATGAATGTGCACCGGCAAGCCGTTGGACTATGAGAGTGATTAAAGAAAGAATATGAATCTCGAATAGCCTGTCAAAGACTCGTCATATTGCTATTTTGAGTTTATAATCGGCAATGAGGAGCTCTATCAACACTTTGGGTTGGTCGGGGAGTTTCCTGTAGTTTATCGAGCAATACGTTCAGATTAACACAATTTCAGACAACAAATAATGTAAAAATATATTTACGACGGAGGGTGACATCATTTAAAAATATATTTTAAGTGTCAAGGAAGGTTCAGTAGTGGGGGTAAAAACACCCTGAGACATAATGAGATATTATAAAAGCAATATCTTTGTCGATGGGTCTTTTATATTAGCAACAAATATCTTTACAGGTGCACGCCTTAAGTCGTCTGTGAAACGACTTAATCTAATGAAATTAGACTACATCATGCAATTATGTCAGCTTTTCTGGTCCCGTTTAATAGAAGTAGGTAATCTTGTCATTATATCATGAAATCATCCTAGATCTCCAAAATTCAAAAGGTTTATTTAAAGGTTTTCATTGACAATTTGCCATTTTTAGAGAAGGAATATGCTCGTTATTATTAGCCTATTACTATTGTTATTATTTGCTATAAATTTCACAGTTTTCACATTTCGAATGTGCAGTGCTTGGGTCTTTTTTATTAATATTTTCACATTTATATTGCTGGGTTACTTACGATTCCATCCATGAGGAATTCTTATTTATTTTTTGTAAATGACTTTGGGATTTGACAGGTTGGATAATAGGTCCAAAGGGCTCACCATATACCGTGAAATAAGTGACTTGGAAAGTAACACAACGGCTCCTCCATTCAACCAGAAGCGACCCCCGTGGCATCTCATACTGTGATTAGACTTGGTGCCCTCCATGTGGACCCGATTTCAACGTGAGTTATCTGGAGAGAATACAATTATGGCCCTAAATAAAATAATCAGCATTGGACGGCGATTACCGTAATGAAATGGAGCTTTGGTGTGTCACGGAGTGGCTGGCCTCCATTACGTTCCGTAATGAGACTTTTGGGGGTAAGCACGCTCGACAATCATATAAACATGAAAATGTGTTTACTTCGATGTCCACCCCTGCACTAAAACTTTGTTCTCGAAGTCTAAATGCAAGGTGTAGTCCTGTTTAACAAATGCATAATTAAACTCTGGGCCTTAAAATATGCGATGCAAGCAATAGCCTTTCAGCACGTTTACTGTGACACAAAACTTGAACCGAATATAAATAATACAATTAGCCTATTAAAAAAATAAACATTTTTTGTAATTTGTGATTTATGTTTAAATTAAGCAATGAACTGAACTCAATGTCATATTTCGAGTAAAGGATTTGTTGTAATATTTAAAAGATAGGACGATGCATCATTCATTTTAAGAAGGGCCGTCAGTGGCTTGCGAGAAGGGAGGTCTTGGGTCAGTGGTCACTCTGAGTTTCTTCAAATTAGGAACATGTGCTAGTAATTATTAAATTCCAGCATAATCACACTGCTAATGCAATTTAATGCATCAGCAAATTAATACCGAAAATAATTAGTTTCACTGACCTTGTACATTGCAAGAAGAGAGTGAAAATATGCTTAAATGAGCCAAACCACTCCGTCCTCTTCCATTCAAAACCCAATGTGATTTAGTCTTATATTTTTCATACAGAATCTAAAAGTAGGTATAGGCTACTCTAAGTAAATTAGCTCTCAAAAAAGTGTGTTTATCAATGTATCATGTGCAAGTGAATAGAGGGCTCTTTGAATATTGATATGCGGTTATGCTCAGTTGCAAGAAACCCCTTAGTTAATTGTTAAAAAAATTGCATATTGTACCCTATTCGTTAAAACGAAATGGACTGATCCAGATTCATTACATTACATGTATTTTAGGCTACAATTAGCTACCAATACGTTAGCCATGACAATTTACATTAAAGGTGAATCCTAGGATTTCATCCCATTCGAAATGCAAGTTAAAACAAATAAGCAATGGGGGGGTTGGACGGACTCACATTCGTTATGATAAATAATAAGTATATTTGACTCCTACAGATGATACAAATCCAGCAATTTGCGAGCCAGCTGCAGGCCCATTATCTGCAGACCGAGGCGGTTCAGCTCTTTTCTGCTCATTCCACTAATCTCCTGTCTCCACTCCATTTATTTGCCACTTCTCTGCTGCTTGTCCACAAAATACAACTCTAGCGCCTCCAAGATTAATTGATCGTCAATTTAGCTCTAATTCGGACCAAGTCAGGTGGTAAATGGTCTACTTTTACTTGATTGTAACTGAAATGTGTGCAAGTTCCATTGATACATTTTGATTATTTATCAATTACGCACAAACGAGATACATATTGAATAAATCGCAGGCTGATTTTTTTCTAATAGAGTTTGTAGATATCACTATTTATAATGATTCCGCACTAACAGTTTCGTTCCGGATTTGCTTGTCGTGATGACAGCACAAAATGCATTTTTCATGAAATCAGCAGTACGCGTGGGCAAGTTGCCATTTTTCAGTGGCATTATTGGGCAGATCTTCGGTAAGTGTGATCTTTGCTCAGAAAGCCTGACATACTTTGTCACACTTTGTGTCAGTTACAAATAATTTCAGTCAACAGGGCATTGTTAGCATACAAAGTTGAGCACACCATGAATATCTCATCTGATATAATCGACTGCAGGAGTTACCCTTGTGGAAGGATTTTGTTCTTATATTGAGGCACCATACGTGAAAGATAAAAGGGTCCTTTTTTGTGGACAAAAAAAGTAGCTATATGAATACAATTTATGCCGCATCAGTTTAACTCAACCAATTAGTTTGCTTGATTCTGACATGGAATTTTAATAAAATAAATCCAGTTAACGCAGTGGTCGATGATAGCTGCATCATTGCAGTTCTAAATGGAAATTATACTCCTCTGTAGAGTAAATTTTACCATTGTGTCAAACATTATTTCATAGGCTAAATAAAGAAAATGATTTGACTATTGACAACTATAGAAAAACTATAAGCTGTCCAAAATACATCTTATTTTCATCAAGCCAAGTCAGATATCTTTGTTGGCATGTGGCACATCTTGCAAAAGCTCATGCTCATCTGGGGCCCATTTTCAATTTTCTTGTAATCAAAATAAAATCGATTTCGCCTCTGCTCACATCACGGAGGAAAACTAACAACTTGTAAATACTTGATATGCGCTTACCAATACTTTCATTTTGCCATAGCACCCGCTCACCCCATTTGTTTTTCAGTAAGAACATATTCATTTGTATCTTGGCTATCTGGTCTGAGACATAGATTTTATTTGCCAAGTAGGGTAATTGCCAAGCAAGACGTGGGTAGTCTGAATTAAATTAATTTGGAACATAACCACCGCGGTGTGCACGCTGGCTTTATAAACCTTGATCATTATAAGCCATAAATGAAACTTCTAATTCATCGTTAAAAAAACGTAAATCACTTGTTTTTGGAAGTTTGTGAATATTAGGCTAAAGTAACAGGTAGCCTACTTTTCGAGGTTTTATACAACCTATTTTCAGGATAGGCCTATTATGCACAAAGAGAAATTTCACATCTATTGATAGCATTGCCACCTTTCCTCCGTATCCTCCCTTTTTCCCATGACCCCTGATTATTAGTATTTTCCTTGTTTTCCAAACTAATAAGTGCCACCATCAAGCACTTGGAGGCTTCCGGAGGCTGCAGACATGCTGCTCGGTGTAATTGATATTGAACGAGCTGGTGGTAGGCGCGAACTGTTGGCGCTGCTGGATAATTTGCAGTTTAATCAGCGATTGTAATGAGAGTCGCTGATTAGGGGCCGTTTGAAAATAAAAGAGAGTTACAAGGAACGTCTGTCAGGGTCCGATGATAATTCAGAAGTAATTGTCGTGATTAAGGAAAACTGGATGAGTGGCTTATCCTAGTGCACGGAATAACCGGGGGGTGGCGAGATTTTATATGATCCAGTCCAAGTGGAAAAAATAAATGTA